TGACTCCTGGAGTCTCAAAATGAAGACTCTCTTTATCTCACAAGATCTGTGGGATATTATTGAAGAAGGTTATGCAGTACCAGAAGATGCAACAACATTTGATTCGTGGTCGCAGGTAAAACAAAATGGATTTAAGGAAAATCAAAAGAGAAATGCAAATACTCTTCTCTTCATCCAACAAGTTGTAAGTAAATCTATCTTTCCTAGAATAAAAATGCTTCAAAATCAAAAGAAGCTTGGGATATTTTGAAAAATGAATTTCATGGATCTGAAAAAGTGATTTCTATAAAACTCCAAAATTTATAGAGAGATTTTGACAATTTGATGATGAAAGATAGTGAAATTGTTCAGAACTATTTTATTTTAGTTGCTGGAATAATAAATCTGATTAGATGTTATAGAGATCATATTCTTGATAAATTTGAGTAGCTTTCTTGTAAAGTTTGACCATGTTGTAGCTGCCATAGAAGAGTCAAAAGATTTATCTAATTTTCATTACAACAATTAAATGAAGAACGAAAAATATGTGAAGGGTGTATCTATGGAAAACTACATAGATTGCCATTTTCAGAGTCATCTGAGAGAGCAAGAGCTCCATTGAAACTTCCATGCAGACATATGCAGACCTGCTCAAACTTAAACTTTTAATAAAAGAAGATATATTTTTTTAATTGTTCATGATTATAGCATAATGATGTGGGTATATTTCTTGGCTAAAAAATCAGAAGCATTTTCAGTTTTTACTTAGTTTAAAGCTGATACAAAAAAGCAAAGTGGTTTTCCATTAAAAGCCTTGAGAATAGATCGAGGAGGAGAATTTATATCAAAAGAATTTTGGAGTTTTTGTAAAAAGAATGGAAGCATAAGAGAGTTGACAACAACTTATACTCTATAACAAAATGGAGTAGCATCGAGAAGAAACAAAACAATAGTCGAAATGGCTCGGAGGATGTTGAAAAGTAAGAATCTTCCTAATAATTTTTGGGCTGAAGCTGTTCTAAATAGTTCTCCTACGAAATCTCTCAAAAATAAAACGCCTTTTGAGGCATGGTATAAGAGAAAACCAAAAGTAAATTATTTCAAAGTTTATGGATGTATTGCTTATGGGAAAAGTACCTCTTAAGACAGAAAAAATTGATGAAAAAGGTAAAAAATATATCTTTATTAGATACAATGAAGTTTCAAAAGCTTATCGTCTTTACAATCCAAAAACAAATAAATTGGTAATTTCCAGAGATGTTATTTGAAGAGAAAAGTGAATAGAACTGGAATGAAAACTCTGAGCAAGAATATTTTGAAAATGATGATTCAAATGAAAGTCCAGATCCAAGCCCTTCAAGTCCAAGTCAAGAAAGTCCACGACAAGGAAGTCCAAGTTCAAGTTCTTCTGATTCAGAGACGCCTCCCAGAAAAGTAAGGTCTCTTTCAGATATTTATGAATCATGTGATGTTGCTTTCTTTTCTAGTGAACCACAAAATTTTGAAGAAGCAGCTAAAGAAAAAATTTGGTTAAATGCCATGAATGAAGAAATTTCTGTTATAAAGAAAAATAATACATGGGAATTCATAGATCACCCAAAGGGGAAAGAAATAATTAGTTTAAAATGGATTACAAAATGAAATATAATGAAGATGGGCCTATTCAAAATCATAAAGTTTGACTGGTGGCAAAAGGCTATTCACAGCAATCTGGAATAGATTTTAATGAAAATTTTGCTCTTGTTGCCAGGATGGAAACCATTCGAACTGTTTTGGCCATGGCTGCCAAATTAAAAATTCCAATTTTTCAGTTGGATGTAAATTATGCTTTTTTTAATAGGGAACTTGACGAAGAAGTTTATGTTGAATAACTTTTGGGTTTTATTGAAAAAAGAAATGAAGAAAAAGTTTATAAACTGAAAAATATGTTATATGGATTAAAACAAGTTCCAAGAGCCTGAAATAGCAAAATTGATAAATATTTTTGGAAAAATGGATTTGAATGGAGCCCAAATGAACCTTCACTTTATGTGAAAAAGGGAAGTGGAAATTTCTTCCTAAATGTATGCCTTTATGGGTATGATTTGATTTATACTGGTACAGACAAAAAAATGATGGAAGAATTTAAGAAAGCCACGATGAAAGAATATGAATGACTGATTTGGGAATTATTAAATATTTTCTTGGAATCCAAGTAAAACAGTTAGATGGAGAAATATTTATCTTTCAAGAAAATTATGTTGAAGATCTCTTGAAAATATTCAGAAAGTCAAATTGCAAGTCAGTGAGTACTCCAATGGCAGTGATTGAAAAATTGTCAAAATATGATGGTTCAGATAAAGTTGATGCATTGATTTATCGAAGCTTGGTTGGATCCTTAATTTATCTGAGTAATACAAGGCCAAGTATTGTGCATGCAGTCAGTATTTGTTCCAGGTTCATGAATGAACTAAGGAAATTGTATTTTGCAGCAGCAAAAAGGATTTTAAGATATATTCAGGGAACAAAAAAACACGATATCAAATATATTTCTGAAAATAATACTAATCTTGTTGGATTTTTTGATAGTGATTGGGTAGATTCTATTGATGATCCAAAGAGCATTTCCGGCTATATATTCTACCTAGGTACAAAAGTGATATCGTAGTCATAGACAAATCAAAATAATGTGCCTCTATCATTAGTAGAAGCCGAATAAATCTCAGCAACAAGTGTAGTATGTGAAACTGTTTGGCTCAGAAGAATTTTATCAGACTTGCAACAAAAGCAGAATACCTCTACAACTATTTTCTATGATAACATGTCAGCCATTATAATGACAAAAAATCTAATATTTCACAACCGATCGAAGCATATAGAAATACGACATCATTTCATCAGGGAGCTAACTGAAAAAGGAGAAATCGAGCCAAAATTCATCAACACAAATGATCAGCTTACAAATATCTTCGCGAAGACAATTTCAACTGAGCAATTCATTCAGTTCAGAGATTTAATGAGAGTGACAAATTAATGAAAGATGTTAAAAAGGTAATTCATTTCTCTCCCTAATTCAATCACCGCCTCTCTCTCTCTCTCTATGGAATCTTCCTCAAACGGCGGTGCAAAAGGAAAATAATGGAAGGCGGAGTATAAAACCGCCACAGGAAAGCTCTCTATAAGGCGGTGGACCATATTGATATTTTAAGCAATATAATATGGCGGTACTACAATCTAAAAAAATGGATGTAAAGCGTGTAAAGCAGAAAAAAAGTGCCTATAAAAAATAGGGAGAGCAAAAACCGAGTCAAATGTGAGTGTGGTCTTCCAGATCACACTATATCATTGTAACCTGTCAAATCTTTTACTTCAAATACTATAGTGAAATTTTTTTATGCCTGGATATTGTTTTCTCTTCACCCCAACTATCTTTCTTTTCTATTTTCCAATCAAATTATTATATCAACGCTTCCATAAATTTCCAACAATACATTGATTATCCATCTCTACAATTTGCTTCTTTAGAATCTCCATCTTTCTACTCTCTGTTTTTATGAAGCCCCTATCTTAGTCATTTCTCTCATGGCTCTCCATTCATTGAACTCTCTCTCTCTCTCTCTCTCCGGTGTCTATTTCGCTTTGATCTCTCTGTAGACTCTCCATTTTTTTTAATCTCTCCATCGCCAGTATCTCCATTCGTCTAATCTCTCTTTCCCTCTGCATTCCTCTATTGCGATGCATGTCCATTTTTCCTATTTTTCTTCATTTTATGATATTTTCTTTTATTTATTTATTTTATATTTTTGCTTTCTCTAAGAACATATTGGAACTCAGGAACTTGGGCAAGTCCACTTCGACTGGTTCGAGTTATTCGGAAGAGCAAGGTCCAAGTTGAGTTCCTAAACTTTAATCTATATGAATTTCTTCCAGATGTATTAGTGCTTTCAACTACCCCTATTTTTTTCCAAAAAATTTTACCCTTCTCAGATCTAGAATCCAATAATTCTATTTTGCAGATTTTTTTGTCCATACATTTCTGTATCTCTTTTCTATAGTTGATGATACTTCTTGATTGTTGCTGACTTATTCATGTTTGGAATCTTTTACATTGGCCTATCAAATTTACATGATTCACTTCTATGCTTTACTAGGAAAATAAAATCCTAGAATCTGTTTGGAAGTTTTTCTGGTTTTGTAACAACTTTGATTAATTTTACATGTCTGTCATATGCAAGGGCTACGAGAGTCCAAATACAATTCTTCTGAAGAGAACCATCTCTTCATTTTCCATTGTGAACAGGAAAATAGTCATGCAATTGTTGTTTCCTCTTTATAAAAATTATGTCTTGCTGTCATTATGGTCATGTACTCATTTCATTTATCTATCAAAAACTTGCATGACATGCATATCATTTCGTAAGAGCTCTGATTTCTATAAATATTTTAATAATTTTGTACTAGGTAATGAAAAAGTACACTACTTTCTGAAGAATTTTCTTGTAAATTATTTAACGATACCACTCGTGATAGTTTTGTCGAAACAAATAAATAGGATATGGTAATGGCAATTGACATAGACACATGAAGGTTTATGTGCCATTAGTTATACCTCGTAGCAAGTCAAATTGATCGACAGTTATTGCCTTTGTTGCACAACTGAATGGACTGATTCGGGGTCAACTGTTTTGAGCAAAAACTACCCAGAATTATTGTACATAATATCAATGCTTCTTTCTAATATATATTAATATGATCTTTCAAATTAATGAAATCAAAGTGGTACGCCTGTGTGCATGCACCTTTGATTTCAAGATTTTACCTGATGTAATGCATGTTTATTGGATTTCTTCTTGCAGTGTGGATCATAGCATTTGGATGTGTATTTCACATGGTAAAGTTGGAGCTTGGGCATGTCAGGAATGTAGTTTCTTGCTTTGTGTTTATGTTAGCCAATTTTAGTTATGATACCAGACATAAAAGAACAATCTTTCTAGCCAATTTAATTCAAAGAATTGATTTTCAGGATTCAGGTTTTCATCTGCTAGCAAAATGAGCATATTTAATGTGAACACTCCAAATAACACACTCTCACAAAGAATAAATAAATCAAATGTCTCTAAAAGATCACAAATTAAATTTTCCAAAGAAAACTTGCACTGGCTAGTCTCAACCCTGCACCAATGACTTAGGAAAACATTTTGCAGAATGTACAGCAACCATGCCTCCCATATCGCAGCCAAATTAGATTAGGCCATTAGATAGATCACTGAGCAAAAAAAGGTTAGTACTGCACCGGAAAAGTGAACACGGTGTGCGGAGGAGGTTGTTCCCTTGTGTTCAGGAGTGGTGGGATCTTCTATTGAAGAAGAAGGACCACTACTGCCTTGGCGTCCTGAAGGGGCAAGTGCATAGGCATTATCATCACTGGTGCCAATACTGATTTTAAGCTTCTGGCCTGCTTCGCAGTGCATCCCGATACCACAGTAGAAGTAGTGAGTCCCGGGTGTGGTGAGCTCCACTGTTGTGGGCCCTATGTAATGTTGATTCACATTTGAGACTTGGGTGCACCCCTTGTAGTCTGCCTTGCTCACATCTAGCACATTGTGCACGCCTGTTGTGTACAAAAACACTGGTGCGCCATACTTGGTTAGATAAGTAATTGGGATTGTATATGATGAGACTATTATTTTTGTTTCCAGGTGGTCATAATTAATCCTAGTCATTAGATGTCAAATTAGATGATTTGGAGGGCATGACAAAATTTAAGAAATTTATTTTTGAACTTTAAATCTAGCCAATGACACTTTTACAGCTAACCGATTTGAAATTTAATAAACAAGAGTGACTTTGACCTCTTTGTGCCAAAAGTAAATGGTCTCTTTTATATACTTTTCATAAGTAATTTTAGGCTGCTCAATTGATGGTAGGACTATGATACTATTATTTTAAAGGAGAAGCTAAGTTTTCTTTTCATTTTTTTTTCTCTCTTCCCTCTTGTATGGTCTTTGGCATGAGCCATTCTTTTCCAATTTTATTTTACTTTGTTAGATGCTATAATGATTTGCATTTGATACAAAATTATAAATTTCCTCATTATGGTAATTTGTCATTTGTCTAAATGTTTTGGCTCACTTTGAGACAACTATAATAGAAAACAACAACAGTCATTCCTCAAAGTGAGCCATATAAAAGGTAATAAACAACCATTTGGGGCTTATTGTTTTTCTCTTTTCTCTCTCTAGAAAAGTAGGGTTTTCTTTTGGCAAAAGCGAGAACAAGGAATGGGTGAATGAGGTGTTTGTTGTCTATTTGTAGAGAGATTGTATAAGCTTGTATTATTCACATTCTTAGATTATCCAAACTAGAGAATCACGGTGGAAAGTTATGGGAAGCAAGGTAATCTTTCAATGGTATTTTTATGTGAGTTCACGAGGTATTTTTGATGAGGACTTTTCACTGGTTTTTTCAATGAGGTGACATTGTATCGTGAACTGTAAGTTTATCTTTGTTAATGGAATATATGCTTGCCGCCTTGCCTGTGATGTAGCCTAATTAGTGTGAACCACATAAATTTATTGTTATGATTTGTGCGTGATTTCATTTTATGATTTGTTTATTCCATCTCTTATTTATTTTTCATTCAATTTTAATGTAAACGGTCGATTGGGTTATAGGTTTCACATACTTCAAATTTCAGTATATGATATTCGATAAGCGGCTTATTTGGAGTTTTGATTATTCGATTCCCAGCAGTTGTTGTACCTTGTTGAAAACCTGGTTTTTTTTTTCTCACTCAATTTTTAAGAAATGCATGAAGAGCAACAATTTACCAACTAGGATACAAAATGAAATGTTGTTGTATCTTTATCCTTTTTAAAAAAATATTTTTAAAAATTCCAACTTTTAAACACTATCTCAAATTTCATGTTAGGCTGGTAGGGATGTCTCCCTTTGAGCACCAATAAAGCATCAATACAATTTATCTGTATTGGTGCCTTGTTGGGCCTATTAGAAAGAAAAAACACCAACATTTCCAAAATAATATGAGGGTAATATTTCTAACTTATAGGGGATTTTAGTAATAACGGTCAATCTAAAGGGTACGGACGTAATTTTCTCCATTTTTTATCACATGACATTCTCGTGGCGCTCGACTTTAGAATTACTATTAGAAAAGAAAAAAAATTAAAATTTGAGTTTCTAAGCTACTATCCGAAAATTGGGCAGTCTATGTTCAATCCTAAGTCATTACTTTGTTCGGTACGTGATTGGTTGTTAGAAAATTGGGCAGTCTGTTCTATCGTAAGTCATTACTTTGTTGGGTACGTGATTGGTTGTTAGGGCAAGAAGGTGACATCCCTCAAATTTTGGCGCCCTGACTAGCAAACATATAGTATCCTCCTAAGGAGCATACCAACCCCGAAATTAAAAAAAAGAAAAAGGTCAAATAACCCCCGAACTTATTTATTCATTTACTTATCCCCCAATAGTTCAAATCCTTTCATTATATAATCTTCCCTTCATTTCTCTCTCTTCCCCATAAATTTTTTCTCCCTTTTCATTTCTCTCTGTACCAGTGATTTAAAAATCGACAAGTCACAACGGGAATTGGTAACCCAATGCTGATTCCTTTGTAAAACAGGAAATCACCCAGTTCTAGAGCAAAAATCAGCGAGTCACAACAGACTCGCCCAAATCAGCACGGGAATCAGTAACCCCGTGTCTATTAATTTGTAAAATCAAGAATCGCCCGGTTATAGAACAAAACCAGAAATCGCCCGGTTCTAGAACAAAAATCGACGAGTCGCAACGGACTCACCCTAGTCAACATGGGAATTGGTAACCCCGTACCTATTATTTTGTAAAACCAAGCCCGAGTCGGCACGGGAATCGGTAACCCCATACCTGTTACTTTGTAAACCCAAGAATCACCAGGTTCTAGAACAAAATGTATGACTGTATGACATCCTGTATCACCAATCTCAACAACATGTGGCGACAAGTGGCAAACACAAACCTTCATCCCTATTGGCGACACACCTTCAACCCACCCCCGATGCCCCCACACTTCCACGCGTGCTCTTAAATGTATGTGACAAAGCTATTTATATGTATAAATGTAACTCTCATTCTTCGATGTGGGATAATTTCTACAAACAGTGTATTAAATTAAAACAGTTGAATAAGTATTATTAATATGGTAACTTTATAAATATGTTATGATGTGGCTTTATGGTTATCACTCCTACTTACCTCTTAGACATTTGGCATTCAAATCCTAACCAATGTGTAATTTTATTTAATTTTTGTTGTAAAAAAAAATAAACAGAAAAAAAATCATTAAAAAATAAATAAATAAAGTTTATTCCATTTGAAATATCTCTCTTTCTATTAACAATCTCTTTTACTAAATTTATTCTAGAAATCTAAAACATATAAATTTTGAAAAATTAAAGTGTTATTTCGAAAATTGGTACACGTTCTAATAATTTCTATATTGATAATCAGATATTTTATTTTATTTATTATTTTTTGTATTATAAATCATGTAATGTACTATTTTTCTTACAGTTGTCAATAATACATTTTAAATTTGATGATATTATCAAATATTTTTGATTTGTTATTATTTGTATAATAAAATAGTTATAAAATGTAAACCAACAATTTTAATTTCAATATATAATATTATAGTTAGTTAGGTTGTAATAATTTTGGATTATAGTTAGTTAGGTTGTAATAATTTGAGTTTTTTTAGCCGATTAAGGTTTTTCGTCAATTCGATATTTTAGTAGCCATTTTTTCATCGATTTAGTCTACTATTTATTATAGTCCATGTATGATTATATACTTTATCCATGATAATTCTATGATTTTTCTTTTGTGTGATGTAAATTTAATAGTTAACATAAGTTTATATAGGGAAAGAACATCTCAATATTCACAAATTGATGAAAAAAATGAAAATTAACAATGTAGTACCCTCATTTCTTATTAGATTTCTAAAAGACAACATTTATAATGAATTTTAATAATTTTTTTAGATTTTTCTAAAACTTAATCGGATTAAATCGTCCGATTTCCAATCCGAATCACCGATTCACCGATTTATATGGGTTTTGGAGTGGCCTATCCACTATACCAATCCATTTTTTAAACCACTGCTCTTTAGCCATTGAGAGAGAGGAAAATGATTAATGGAGGAGAGAGATATGAAGAAAGGCTTGTAGGAAAGAGGGAAAAAGGTGGGGAAGGTTCATGGATAAAGAGAGAATCGTGGTGAAAATTCATGCGGAGGAGAGAGAAAAGAGGTGAAAGAAGAGAGAGAAAGGGGAAGAGAGAGAAATTTTTTTTGATAGGAGGGGGATATAACTGGATTAAAAGATGGGAAAGAGATTTGAACCATGCGGGGGCACGTGAAAATAAAATTGCAATTTAGAAAAAAAAAAGCCAAAAACAGGAGTTGAGGGTTGTTCTTTGACTCTTTTTGTTTTTAAGAGGGTCCATGGGCTATCCATGGACCTAAAGGTGTATATAAGATCAGATTGTGGGTTTATGTCTTTTACCCATAAATCCATGAGTAACAAAATTGGTACTAAATGAATTTTAGTCCAAAAAGCAACATGTCAAAATTGCAAAGCGCCAAGAAAAAACTTTGAAAAGATAATATGTAATTGTTTCTGGCTAAAAATATTAGACTTCAAACATGGGTTATTTATTTATTATATTTGCCTCGGGAAGTTTAGTAAAAACAACATATTATATGAGATCATCACTAAGACCTTATCATTTTTAACCAATAAAATCCATTCCACGAACTAAAATGCACTAAACCTAATTTTGTTTTGTTATTGTTTGTGGGTAATTCAGTGGGGATCACAGGGCCCTACCTGTTTTTTGAATTAATGAGTAATTTTTGAAGTTATCAATGGGAATGAAAGCTATAACGTGCAATTGAGATATGGGGTGTGCTACTATCACAAGTTCAGTCCTTTCCCACTGAGCTTAGTTTCTGAAGATCAAATGCAAATGCAAAGTAAAATTTTGAGAGAGAGATAGAAGGCTTGACCAATGAAATAAATAAAAAGTGGCACATATAAGTAGAAGTTTAATGTAAGAACATTTTCACTAGTATTTTTTAATACTGAATTTATACCTCACTTCCTTAAAAAATGAGCTTTTGAAAAAGGATTTTATACAATGAGACCATAACATTTAATACATAAGAATTCAAAACACTGAGCCTTGGGATGTAAAATTGGACAACAGTGGTATATCATTTTTTAGCACAAAAATTTTAAAATTTTTGAGCGCTATCAATGTAACATCCCCATCCTCCCAATTTAGATTTGCTGATTAAAGGTGATTGTGAACATATTGTATCATAGATAAAATGGCTTTATGATATATCTTTCTTTGTTAAAAACATTTTGAAAATGGTAAAGTATATAATAAGATCATTTATATTTGGTACAAGGCTGTCACAATTCATCTTAACCATTGGACGTGAAATTAGATGGCTACATTTATTCCATTGACTAAGCTTAGACTTCAAAAAAAAATTTCTCGAACTCTGAGAGTGACACACCAAGCTATCAGATTTCACATCTGATAGTTTTAAATAATTGTGACCTCCTTGTATCAAAAGCAAATTGTGTTACTGTATACAAAATGTTTCTTAAATATTAAAATAGTTGTGTTTTGGAAAGAATTACTAACTATGGTAGAGGTGATTTGCTTCTATTGGTAAACAACAAAACTGATGATACCCCTTAACTACTGGGAAAGTATATCATTAGACTATCTATTTTGATTTAAAAGAAAAAAAAAAAAGTCAGAGTCAGCCCTGGTAATCAGGTGTGAAATGAGGTGACTAAAACTTTGCATGTGAAAACTTTCGTCAAATTTTATATAGTAAAATAGCCCACCTCGAATGTCCAGTTTTGCATTGGATGGCTTGGGGTGTTCATAGGCTTTGTATATGATAAAATAACCATCTCATTGTATACAATCTCATTTCTCATTTTTATTATTGTAGTGTAAGGGATTATATGCTGGATTTGAAGCCTGCCTCTTGTAGGGGTAATAATCTCTATAGCGTTTTCAATATTCTTAGTGGTTAATAGAGAGAGGCATCCGTGGTATTGCTGAATTTGTTTGTTAATGGTAGTAGAAAGAAATAGAATCCTATAAATTAGATTGCCTACTGGCGATAAAGTTGGATGGAGAAAAATATTCAAATTAGGATTACGGTTCAATTTTTGGATAGGATTACATCATTGGTTACTCTTGCATATAGGAGTGGAAATAGAAGAAAATAATTCCTCTTAAGGGCTTATACTATGCTCGTTTGGGAGCGTAGGCATATTTCTACTCGGTCATAAAACCTATTTGGGAGGATTTTTTTCAATTTGAAATTTTGGGAACCACCTAAGAATTACTAAAAGATTATTCTAAAAATAAACAAAAAGAAATTTGAATTTTTTAATACCCAACACTTAGATCTCACCATCTGAAAATTGAATATTAAAAAAAAGAGACATTATGTTTTTTAAGTACATAAAGGGTACAATTGGGTTTTTTATTTATTTATATTGAGATTAATCTATGGTTGAAAATGTTAAATCCTCAAAAATTAAGTCCCTAAATTAATTCTAGGTGAGATTTTACCCCAGGGAGTAAATGCGCAAGGGAGTGATTATCGCTTGGCTTTTGCTAATGGAAATACTTGGTAGTCCCTAGTGACCAAACTGTATTTTTTTGGTCCCATGACTAAAGTACAATATTAGAGAATTTATCTGATCCCAAAATTTTTTATTGATTTCTAGGGCCAATGTTTTCTTTGACAATCTATTTGGAGCACCCAAAAAAATGCTCCAAATGAATTGTCCTTGGACCACGGACCTTTTAATTTGATCCACGTTTAGGTATCGGGTTCTGATTGCTCAAAGCCATTTATTTTCCTTTTTCAAATTGACGTCAAAATGAATATAAGGTCATAATTGCTTGTATTTTATCTATGAGATCAAATGTATAATTTGGTCTAACCATACATGCTACTGTAGGTTTTGGAAATTTGGTCTTACCATACATGCTACTGTAGGTATTGGAATGAAATATCAAAATTAATTTGGGAAAATATCAATTAAAGGCTGAAACCCTTACAAAATCAACTACTAAGGTCAAATGATCATAAATTAGAGGATTTTCTTTTAATTTCTATTTCAATAATGTAAATCGTCAAAAAAAGAATTAAAATGTCCCCAAATTACCCATATTCGGTAATTGAGAAGAATGAGAAGTTAGGGGCACCAACGAAGCCTTAATATATGATAAAAATACCTTTAGTTGTTTAGAGTTAGAAATACAGAGCAACTTGTTCGGTATTTGAAATGAAGAACGATTAGGGAATATTCACCTTGCCTATGTCAAATGGCATAAATAGCCTTTATTGTTTATCATTTTAAATACTGAAAAAGAAAGGTATTTCTTTCGTTCCATTAAGGCTTCTTTGGGTTGTAAAATTATCAAGGTGCCTTTAAATAATTAAGCTTTCCAATGTCAAACATGGGCAATTTGGAAATATTTTAAAACTTTTTTAAACATGGGCAATTTGAAAATGTTTTAAGGTTTTTTTGAGGACGTATCTAATTGAAATAGAAATTAAAAACAAAAAAACTCTCAAATTTAATTTGTGATCATTTGACCTTTAAGTGATTTTATAAAGAGTTTCAAACCCTTAATTAATATTTTCCCAAAAAATTTGACGTGAAAGCCAAGTAAGAATCCCGCATAAGATGAAACAACCGAATATGACGCAAGTGATAGTTTTCATAAGGAAATTATGGGCATATGCTAATTAGCACACACCACACAGGAGGTTCCATTATATGTATTCCCAATAATGAACGGGGGAGATTAACAAAGGTTCCTTTTATGCAGATACTTTCCCATAACATTATATGGTGGGTAGTTATGTAGACCAGAGGGGCATCTACCTTAAACCAAGACTGGAGATAAGACCCAATGCACAATTCACCCCAGCCATCTACTAAAGACAATGAACACTGGATGCTCCAATCATAAACACCAATTTTTGTATGGTTTGTTTGAAGAATTTTAAAGATAGAAAAGAACTTTTGAGAAAATAATTGTGGCCCTACAATGTGTTTATTGTGGTGGGTCTTTCATTGTATATATAATAGCAATACATTGGTCTAATATACATGTTTTTATCTTATTACATGCAATATAAATTTTCCTATCTTGTTACACTTTATTGTTTTTTAATTTTGTTTTCATTATTGTTGTCCCTTTCATTAGCCTATGCTATAGCTAAGTGTGGCAAGGGGCGGGCCAGCCTAGGCCCAGGTCTAGCTCTTGTCCCTATAGGCCTGTACAATAAAATAGGTTGAACCAGGCCGGACTAGCCCTTACCAGTGGCCAGGCCCTACTCCGGCCCATTGCCGACCCCCGGCTATGCGTGTGTGTGTGAGAGAGAGAGAGAGAGAGAGAGAGAGAGATTTACATACCCAATTTATCGTTGAGGTTGAAGGTATGAGTTTTAGCCCATTGATCATAGAAGGTATTGTTTGGTGGGATTTTCCACCCAAAGCTTCCTCCAACAATGTGAGTCAAGGCCGCTGCCGGCTGCATATTATGCATAACAACAATGACGACAGAGACAACAGCCCAAACAAACTTTGAGTCCATTCTTCTTCAATGGGCCCTTCCCTTCTATTGGCTGTGCCTGTATGGAGAGAGAGCCCAGAGAAGCCTAAATTCAATGCAAAAACAAAGATCTATGCCTCAGGTCTTTTACTTTTAAATTTTATTTTGTGATGGCTTCCTTTTGATATATTTTTTTTTTTCAATTTATTTTTCTGTTGTTTTCTGTTTTGGGGTAGTTGAGATAAAAATGGAGAATGATTGGAAATGAGCGTTTTGAAAAGGTCTTTTCCAACGCTTTACTTGCAATTTGCTTATTCTATAAATCTAAATTTAGGGGCCTTTTTCCTCTTTACCTGATAAGCCTACCACTTCCCTCTTATCCCTTAAATTTAAAGGCATTTTCGCTCTCAACCTGGTAAGCCTACCACTTCCCTCTCTCTCAAGCCCCCATTTTCCAAATTCAAGATCACTTATAAATCATAGTATCAATTTCTGTCCTCCCATCATTTTGCTTGAATTCACTCTCTTTCATCTTGCTTGCTTCCTCAATCTTTCTCTCTTTTCATTGGACTCTTTCAATATCTTAATCTAATTTTTAAAATACTTTATCATTTCATAATAATTTTTTTTTTAAATACCTCATCATTTACTATTTAAACTACAAATTAACGATATTTAAAGGTTGTGATTAAAATAGTTCACTAAATGTTTGTGACCAATATTAATTCAGACTATTCAGTTATTATTCTTTGAGGCATGACAAGCATGGTATAGTCATGCCATCTACACATATGCATTTCAATATTAAACAGGAATGTATACAAAGAGACCATTTCAATATTAAATAGGAATGTCTACAAAGAGATCATTTATCTTTTATGAATGGAGGTCACAATCATTCTCAAATATTAAATGTTAAATTGGATGGTTTGAGGTGAGCCATAAAGTGAGTTTTTTATTTTCGAAATTTTGTATTTATTCAATGACACTAGTACAACCACCAATTTTGAAATTTAAAAGACAAGAATGATTGTGCGTACAAAAGATAAATGGTCTCTTTGCAGACAATTATATATTAAATCGTTATGTCTAGTAAGAGCAAATTTAAGGAGCAATGTAGACAATTCTATATTAAACCGGGTCAAGTAAGAGTAATGTATTTATCAAGTTGCATCTAAATACTACCCAAACAACAACAATCCATTTGCATGTAATTTATTACGCAGTAATGTATTACACCAGTAATATATTTCACAGACAATATATTTCCAGGTATCCAAACGACCCCTTCGTATATCCCACCCAAGCATACGGAGCCCCGACTCCCAAGTGTTTGCTCCCTAGATTAGCCCAAAAAAATAGAAAAATCAAATCTTATAAATAAGGAAAAAGTTTATATACGTGCGAAGCTCTAAACACTTGAATTAAGACGCACCGCAAAAATTTCATTAGAAGAGGTTGGTTCGATGCAAAAAAATCCTCAAATTGATCATCTCAACCTCAATATTCATGGACATGACGAAAAACAAATTTCAAGTTTTGGACATAGTGCATCTTGTAATGCATTTTTAGATAGTAAATTTTCAAGTATTCATAGATCTGCTTGATTTACACTATTTTTGAAGCTTTAAATTTTATAATTAGAGATGAAAATAAATTTTCAGGCCATCACAAAGATGAGAAATAATCCTATAGGACCCTCCCCCATTCATGTGTATAGGATCCCAAAGGATCACCATTAAATTTGACACAGATCTATAGAAAAATCAAGTCCCACACCCATGTAATAAATTTTTAGAGATCCGTGCCAACTTTAATGGTGATCCTTTGGAGTCCTACATACATAAGTGGGAGAGAGTCCTATACGATCATTACTTCACAAAGATTACCAATATTAAAATTACACCTTTCAAAACTATTTGAAGGTGTGGTTTACTTTGATTGTTTAGAGCCGTAGCCTTATACAAACCACACCCAATAAGTAAACAATGGACAAGAGCTTAGCAACTGTACGGAATGGGAAGCAGTGGGTCTTCACAATTGAATGAAATGGAAGGAGCTTGTGATTGTAAGCTTATTAAGCAGTATTGATACACATTTCAATTTTTCACAACATGCTGACACCTGTCCATTTATAGACACGTGCAAATAAATGACCAACGCGTCTATGCATGCGTCAAATTATACTATATATCTTTAATATCGACACCTCTTAACAAGATGGGGACTTTGTAGACACTACAGTGGCGTTTGATAACTTTTACTTGCAGTTTTTTTGAAAAAATTCAAAAGAATCTTGAAAAGCAAATGAAAATTAATAGCCTAAAAATTAGAGACTCTGTTTGATAAATTGTAGTGCTAGTATTTTTATGTATTTGTATTGAAAAAATTAATCTCTTTATATATATATATAAAATATAAAATATAATAATATAGTACAATATATTATTACAAAGGCACTGTCTAAATGTTAACTATCACTGATGACGTGAGTTTAACTTAAAATAATCATGTTGGGGTATATAAAATATAAAATATAATAATATAATACAATATATTATTACAAAGGCACTGTCTAAATGTTAACTATCACTGATGACGTGAGTTTAATTTAAAATAATCACGTTGGGTACCCCAAAGTAATAGCTTTCGGGAAGAGAATAGTGAATAGAAATAAATTGTGTTCCGATTTTCCCCCATTTTTACTGTCCGGAAACATACGAAAACTAGTGGAAAAGTTAGGTAGGCACTTTACGCAGTTATCAAATGCCCAATTCAATCATATTTTTGAAAATTTATGCAAAACCCGTTTTATGCCTTGCTAAGGTTCAAAAACTAGACTCCTGGCAAAAGAAGGCTACTTCTACCAAGCTGACCTTCGACCTCGATGTGACAATACCTATGTATGATAGGACAAATTGAAAACTTCAAAGGAAAAAAGACCTATACACCCTCCCCCTGAATTTCACTCCCGTAGAAACCCCTAATGCGGTGGAAAACCCTAGGACACCATTAATTATTAAAATAGAATATTAAACATTCTATTTTCTATAGGGTGCAATTTGCATACGGATGCATCCTTAGAGGTAAGGCGCACCTTCGAATTTACAGTGAGTCACTCTCTCTTCACCATGATCCCCTCCCCACTCTCTCACCCACCCACACTTCACCTAAATCACTGGATTAGTATTTTCTTCATTAAAAGATGTCTGGTATATCTACCAAGAAAACTAAGAAACGTAGTTATTTTGGTTCATAAATCTCCGAGAAAAGAACTACCCAGAACCTGCAAAAAGGCCCCACTCCATTTGTAGAACCATCAATATTGGAAAACCAGTTTATTTGAAGAATCAACAAAAATCGTAGAAAAAATTTGCATGTTTGGAGATTCAATGCAAAAAGCTAGTTTGCCTTGTGCATTGTAGCTGGAAAAGCTATTCCAAGAGATTGTAGAATATTTTAAATAATTTCATTAGTGCTTTTATTGGTTTCTCTCTCTAGAAAATTTCACTTTACTGGTTTTATGGATCTTGGAGGTAATGACGTTTGTTTTGGGCAGCTTTAGGTTGAAAAGAGAAAATGGGGTTCACGATGGAGATGGAGATGGAGAGGGAGAGATGATTGGGGTTTTGATTGAATAATTTAGTAATTAAATAAAGAATTTGTCAAAAATTAGACTTTAGCAAGAGGGGAATGTTTGTCCCAATTTTTACAAATAAAGGGCAGCACCAGGGGTTTATATTGGAGTGGAAATTTCGGGGTCGGGGGGTATGGGTCATTTTCCCTATATACAAGTATCATATTCCCTATATACAATATATCATAATGCTACAACTCCTAAAGCTAATGGAAGTATCAACTTGTCATATAAAAATGACGTTATTCTTTTAATAAAAGGGAAAAGTTTATATAGAGCCGAGGCTCTAAACAATCAAATTTGAGCCTACATCAAAAATTTCACTAGAAGAGGTTGTTTTGATGTCCAAATATGCTCAAATTGATCATCTCGATATCAAGATGCATAGATATAAAAAAAAATGAATTTCAAGTTTTGAGAAATAGCGTATTTTGTAATGCATTTTTAGACCGTTGATTTTCAAGATTTTCAGATTTTTATAGATCTATTTATCTACACTATTTTTTAAGCTTTAAACTTTATAAATAAATATGAAAATATATTTTAAGGCTATACCAAAGATTTCCAGTATTGAAACCAATGGTTTAAAAACGGATCGGTGACCCGGATCGGGCTTCCAAAAAACCTATCCGGATTGGCGAATCGGCGATCCGGATTGAGAATCAGGTGAATCGGTCATAATAAAGCTTAAAAAAATTTTGAAAAAATTATTAAAATTCATTATAAATATTGTTTTTTAGGAATTCAATAAGAAATGAGGGTACTCCATTAAGAATTTTCATGTTTTTGAATGAATATGCGAATATTGATATGTTCTTTCCCTGCATGAATCGCCATTCAGCATTTAATTTACATCACACAAAAGGATAAACATATAATTATCATGGAATAAGTATATCAACATACATGGAATACAATAAAGCATAAAATTAGTAACATATGATCTAAAAATTATTGTTCTTCTTGGTCACGCTGGTGCCATTGATTGAATTCGTTTAACAATTCGTTAATTCGATCTAAAAACGAATCATCAATATTAGCAGGCGTCTGACTATTCCCAAATCCCTGAGTGTTAGTGTTTTGTTGTGTTCCCAATCTAAAATCCCCGAAGATTGTTCATCCTTCATGCTCACCTGTACTGTCGTGCTCATCCCTACACTGTTGCTGAATAATATGGCTGGGATAGGTGGCCTCAGAATCATCATCTCTCTCATTTTCTCTTTGAATAATATGGAATTAAAAAAAAAAAAACAAATTTTCAAAAAAATCGATCATGGATTAAAAAAAAAATCACAAAGTTTCAAAAAATTCTATCATGGATTACAAAAAAAATTCGATCATGGATTAAAAAAAAAAATCACAAATTTTCAAAAAATTCTATCATGGATTACAAAAAAAATTCGATCATGGATTACAAAAAAAACAAACAAAAAAACAAAAAATTCAATCGTGGATTACAAAAAAGAAAAAACAATTCGATCATGGGTTACAAAAAATTCAATCATGGA